TTGAATTCAGCTGGCCTCTCCTATGCTCCTTTGTAAGCCCTTTCTTCCTCATTGTTGTTCCTCACTGTTTCCAGTGGTCTCACCAGAACAACCCTTTCTCCTGAGGGCCTTAGAAAGACATGGATTGGAGGCTAACTGAGGGAAAACCAAGCTAGCAGGAGTCAAGGTCAGGATCTCTGTCTTCAAGAAATAGTCTAAAATCATCATTCTAGCATTCAGGGCCTGGCCTGTGCCAGAGTAACACCACTTATCCGGGCCACAGCAAATTACTTTCACCATGCTCCAAGTGCATCTTGCCTTCTGGGACCCCCAAACTTTTGTACAGGATGTTCCACTTCCCTAGACCACCACTTTTTTTTTTAACTTAATCATGATGTGCATGGTACTAATTATATGTCTTGGCATTATTTTTTTTCAAAGATTTTATTTATTTATTTGACAGACAGAGATCACAAGTAGGCAGAGGGGCAGGCAGAGAGAGAGGGGGAAGCAGGCTCCCCGCTGAGCAGAGAGCCCGATGCGGGGCTCGATCCCAGGACCTTGAGATCATGACCTGAGCCAAAGGCAGAGGCTTAACCCACTGAACCACCCAGGCACCCCATGTCTCGGCATTATTATAAACACTTTGCAAATATTACCTCATCTATCCTCACAACCCTATGCTGTAAGCACTATTACGACCCCATTTAACAGATAAGGAATTTGAGGTGCAAGCTGGGTGGGAGGAAGAGATTCAAACCCAAGCAGCCCAGAGCCAGAGTAAATGCTCTTAGCCACTACACTATACTGCCTCTTAAACTTCTTCCAACTCGCTTGCACTTCTTCCACACTTATCTTGGGTATCAACACCTCTCCCCACACTGCCCTGACATCCTTCAGCACCCACAGCTCCCAGTCCCCATCTTTATCTCCCATTAGGATAAAACAATCTGACTGCTTATTTTACTCTTTCTTGATTGAAGTATAACCCACATAAAGAAAAGTACAAAGAGGCATAAATGTACAGCTCTCAGTGAATTGTTACTAAGTAACCACCCATGTAATCAGCATGGAAATCAAGAAACACAACGTTCCTAGCACTCCGGAAGTTTCCTTAGGCCTCCTACTCAGTCCTTCAAGGCAATCACGAATCTGACTTCTATCACCATAGATTAGTTTCACCTGTTTCAGAACTTTATCTACATGAAATCATACAGCAGGTGCCCTTTTGTGTGTGGTTTATTCTGCTCAGTTTAATGTTTATAGAATTCATCCATATTATATGTATGTGTAGGGCATTCCTTCCCATCAATGTGTAGTATTCCATTGTGTAAATATACCACAATATATTTCTCATGTTTCTGTTGTTGGCACTTGAGTCGTTTCCAGTTTGGATTATTACAAATAGTGCTTTTATGAGCATTATTGCATATGTCTTTTGGTAAACACGTATAAGCATTTCTGTTGGGAATATACCTAGAAGGATTGCTGGGCTATGGGGTGTGCATATGGTCACCTTTAGTTGATATTGCTAAGCAGTTTCCGAAGTGATTATATCAATTTATACTCTCATCAGCATTTTATGAGAATTTCATCCAATTCCACATTCTCAGCAACATTCAGTATTAATCTTATTCTTTTTAGTCATTTTTGTGTGTTGATTTCTTTTGTATTTTCTTAACTAATGAAGTTGTATTTTCATATCTTCCCTTCTAATCCTTATGTTCTTTATTTATTTTTCTTATTTTAGTGCACTAGCCAGGACTCCAGTACAATTTGAATAAAAGTTGTTATTGTGGGTATCCTTGCAGAAACCATTCAACATCTCTCATTAGATATGATATTTGCTATAGGTATTTTTATAGATAACATGTATTAAATTAAAGAATTTCCCTTATGGTCTTAGTAAACTTTGTCATGATGCTTTTTTTGCATATACAGAAGTGATCATATGATTTTTTCTTCAATTTTCTGGAAGAAGTTGTGTAAAATTAGAAAATTGGGGGCCCTGGGTGGCTCAGTGGGTTCAAGCTTCTGCCATCGGCTCAGGTCATGATCCTAGGGTCCTGGGATCTAGCCTCACATCGAGCTCTCTGCTCAGCACGGAGCCTGCTTCCTCCTCCTCTCTCTCTCTCTCTCTGCCTGCCTCTCTGCCTACTTGTGATCTCTGTCAAATAAATAAATAAAATCTTAAAAAAAAAAAGAAAATTGGTGAGTTTCTTTAAGTATCCTGTAGAATTCACCATTGACAGTCACCAAATCTGGAGGGCTATGGAAAGCTACTTATTTATTTATTTATTTATTTATTTATTTATTTATTTATGAAGATTTTATTTATTTATTTTACAGAGAGAGAGAGGGAATACAGGCAGGGGGAGTGGGAGAGGGAGAAGCAGGGTTCATGCTGAGCAGGGAGCCCGATGATGATAATGATGATGATGATGATGATGATGATGTAGGGCTTGATCCTAGGACCCTGAGGTCATGACCAGAGCCGAAGGCAGATGCTTAACAACTGAGTCACCCAGGCGTCCCTTCGGAAAGCTTTTAAATTGTAAATTCAATTATTTAATAGTTATAGGATTATTTATCTTTAAATTGTTTCCTTGTGTGAGTTTTAGTGTATTGTATTTTTCCAGGAATTTTCCCATTTATCAAAATTTTGAAATTTGTTAATATAAAGTTCTTCATAATATTGTCTTATATTTTAATGTATCCATGACCCATATTGTACTTCCTCCTTTTGCTCCTGTTAATAGTTATGTGCCTTCTATATATACTTTTTGGGATCAGTTTTAATGATTTATCATTTTTCTAGTTTTTTAAAAGAACCCATGTTCAGCTTTGTTGATCTTCTCTGTAGTAGTTCTGTTTTCTATTCTGTCAATTTCTACTCTTTTTAAAAGATTTTATTTATTTGTTTGTCAGAGAGAGAGCATGCACAAGCAGGGAGAGTGGGAGGCAGAGGAAGAAACAGATTCCCCGATGAGCAAGGAGCCTGACCACACGGGACTCCATCCCAGGACCGCAGGGACCATGACCAGAGCCCAGGGCAGACACCTAGCTGACTGAACCGCCCAGGCATCCCTTGTCGATTTCTAATCTTATCTGTTATTTCTCTCTTTCTACTTTCATTAAGTTTAATTTGCTTTTTCTAACTTTTTGAGATGGATTTGCCACCTTTTGAAAAATAATATATAATTTAAGCTATACATTTCGAAGCATCACCTTAGCAGCACCCCACAAGATTTTAAATGTGATATTTTCATTATCAGTCAGTTCAAAATATTTGCTAATTTCCACTGTGAATTTATCTTTGGCTCATAGGTTTTTTTCTCTCTCTCCAAAGCATAGTGTCCAAACTTCCATAGGCATAAAAATAACCACCTGAGGACCTTGTCAAAATACAGGTTTTGGAGCCTCATATTGAACCTCCTAGATTGGTATTTCTGGGAAGTAGGTCTGGGGATCCACATTTCACAAGTTCCGTAGGGGATTCGGTTTCAGGTGGGCTGGCTGCAGGACCACAGATCAGAGGCACAGCAAGGGTTTTCTAAGGCAGAGAGTAAGTCTGATTCACCTGTATCTCCAGCACCCACCACTGAGCTTGGCATAAAGCCATGTTTAAGAGTGAGCCAGTGGGTGTGAGAAGGAAACAAATAAAAGAAAATTGTTTCTATGGTGACACTTGGAGTTTTCGAGTGCTATGAATTAGCGAACCACTACTGCATCATTTGGTCCCAATTTAATCCATTCAGGATAGAAATATTTTTTTCCTTGTCTTCAAATCTCTGCCTACTAAGCTTTCTCCTCACCTGTTCCATTCTGCTGTCCTGGATCATGGCCTTAGGTATTATGTGCTTGTCTACTGGCACAGAGAAAGTAGGGGAGGCCCTGGAGGTGTCCTGAGAGGGACTGTTCGGGGCTCAGCAGCGCTCCCTGCCCCTCTCCCCCCACCAGCCCAGAGGCCTTGGTGGGAAAATGCCCACAGAACCCATTCTAAATGAGGTTATCTATCCTACCTCGCGGAGCTCTAAGCATCCTTCCCATCCCAAAGCTTTTGAGAAACTTCCACAGGACCTTTCTGCCTCTATGCGACCCCAATCCTTCCCTCCTCTGCACTTGTAGCCCAGGTGAGTTGCTCTCAGCAGCCCCTTGGCTGCCTCTCCCCACCTCCAGCGTGCCTCCCTCAAGCATTTCAGTGAGGCCGGAGTCTCACTTCCCCAGCCAGCTATTGTCCAGGCGGCACAGCCGCCAAGCTAGCATCCACACCCAGTCGGCCAGCCAGTGAGCCGGCTGCTCCCCAGCCTCGCCAGTCCCCACCGCGCCCCGCCCCGCCCCGCCCCGCCCCAGGGAGGACCAGGCTGGCGGCTGAGAGTCTCCCTGCCTGCTCAGCCTCCCTCCTTCCCTCCCTCTCCCTCCCGCCTGCCTTCCTCCCCCGCCCGCCCCTGAGGCAGGGACCGTGCAAATCGTGGAGAGGGGGGACAGACAGGCCGGATGGGGTCCGGCTTAAAGCCTTGGGCTCCCCACTGATACCCCGTCCAGGCTGTGGGTCCCCAACATCTTGGGACCTGGATTTGTGTGAGCTGGGGTGGTTTCCAGGCCAGAAGCGTGCCTCCGGCAGGCCCGCGGTGCCCCCGTTTTGCATCAGGACCCCCCCCCCTTGGATGCTCTGAGCCACCCTCCTCAACCCGGATCTAAAACCCGGGACACTGCTATCAGGCCAGCCTCTCTACCCACCCCACCCCCTCTTTCTGGCGTCCATCCCCTCCCCAACACCACCTCTGCTGCTGCCTCTGGCTGTGGACCTGCACCTCTTCCCCATCCCCGCCAGGCCTGGGAAGCGGGGTGAGCCTGGATGAGAGCCCCCCAACCTGGGGCTCTCCCAGGCCATGGCCAGAGTGCTCCCAGAGAGGAGCCCTGGCCCCTGAGCATCTGCTAGAGGCTTGGCAGAGGCCCCGCGGGGACCGTGTCTTCTGAGGACAAAAGGCGGCGGCCAGCAGGCAGACGGGGAGGGGGGGGCGGGGGGAGGGGGACCGGCAGCCAGGCGGGCAGACGGGTAGCAGGGACCAGCCCTGGCCCCCCTCCCAGCTTGGCGGTGGCATGAAGATGGGGGTGGGAGTGTGTAGTGGGGGAAGCACCTGCCTGGACCCTCACCTGCCAGCTAGCTGGGCACCCCAAGGCTGTGTGCTGCCCACTTGGTGTTCCCCAGCGTCCCCAGCCCTGCCCGGTGCACCCCTTCGGTGCCTGCTCCCCCTGATGTCTGCGTTTTAGTCCAGCCCGGCTGCTGTATCCACGGCAACAGAAGCAGGAGTGTCACTGGCCGCCAGATCACTGAGGGTCCCAAAATGTGGCCTGGGCTGTGATTTATCCTGGGTGAGACTGCTTGAGCCCCCTACCTGGATTCCAAGACAGCCCTGCTGAGAGAGTCCAGGTAAGTAGTCAGCATCCCTCCACCAAGGATGGGGGGGGCTGAGATTTCTCTTCTCTCTCCCCACACATATTTCAGAGTCTCCATCACTGCCATGTTCTCTGTCTCTCTCTCACTCGGTTAGTGTGCCCCCACCCCCCATCCCCGCTCCATCACAAGGACTATTTGGGGACCCAAGCCTGGAGAGTCCTCTAGCCATCTCCATCTTCCCCAATCCCAAATGTCCCATGAGAAAGGGAACTACCACCTGTTTCCCCACTCCCCACACAGGGTCTGTCTTTATCATTGTGGTTGCGTTGGGGCATGAGGCTGTGTTAATATTCCTGTGTGTGCTAGCTATGGAAGGCATGCATGGGAGTCTCCTCAATGCCTGCACCCTGGGCAGGCTCAGCCTCCTGCAGCTGCCTCCTCTCCCTCCTCCTCTACTCTCCTCCAGGTTCCTTGGTCTGCATGCAGGGTATGTGTGTTTCTGTCTGTGTGTGTGAGCAGGCAGGTGGGTAGACATGACGGAGAAGCAGATCCCAGCCCAGACCACCCCCAAGTCTTTCTTTCCTTCTTCCCTTCCTCCCTGCTTCCCTTCCTTTTTACTTTTCCCTGTCTCTCCACACAGGTAGCACAGACTTTTGCTCGCTCCCCACTGAAGATACTGCTGTGCTTCCCAGCTAGGGGGAGAAAGCCACCATAGGGAAAGTGGGGTGGGGATGGGAAGCACTTCCAGGCCCTGGGCTGCTTGATGGCCCTGTGGGGGCCAGGACCATGCCACACAACCCGCAGGGGCCACAGTGTGGGCCCCAGCTTCCATCCAAGGCTCTCTATGTCTGTTTCACGTGTCCATGTTGTGTTTGGGACCCCCAGATCTTATGGCCTTGTGCACAGTGGCCGGTGATCCCTGTGTCTGGAAGGGCAAGAAAGCCCAATACGTGGAGAGCGTGGATTCTCCTGGGACACTTCCCCCAGCTCCTAGCTCTGCAACTTTAGTGAGAATGTGCCATTTATTGAACCTCAGTTTTCCCATCTGTCAAAGAGACTGGTAACCCTCCCAGTCATGGGCATGTGTGGTGATTAAATGAGTTGGTGCATGCAAATAAAGGATGTGCTTAGTAGTAGCCCTGAAATGATATCAGCAAAGCTCATGGTCGATATTGTTGATTATTCATGATTAATATTGTTATTGATTATTTGGAGGAGGAACTGGTCCCTCTTCTCCAAGGTCTTGGCAGAGATCTAGAGAGGACAGCAGGTAGGCAAATGGGGGCTGTGGAGTGGAGGGGAGGCAGGAGCAGCTCAGTGTTGTCACTCTTTCTTTGTAGGGAGTGATAAGTGGTGGCTATGGGCAGAGCCTCCCACCCCCACTCCACTCCAGTCTCCGTTTCCTGTACTTGCCCCTGTGTGTGTGAACACACACGCACATGCACACACGTGAGTGTGCGCGTGCGCGCGCGCACACACACACACACACACACACACACACACACACAGGCTTAAGCTCCCATGAGCTAGCAGAGGCCTGGCTTGCAGCCTGCAGCATTCTTGGCCTTGGTGATGTAGGCGTCTCCCTGTTGAGGGGAGACTTGGCAAGAGTTGGGCCTGTGGTCAGTGGTTGGCAGTGCCAAGGCTGAAGCTTCTGAGATCGCAGTGCTTTGGGTAGAGCTGGGGTGTGGCCCATGCAGCAACCAGACCCATGGGAGTACGGGTCCCAGGGATTTGCTAACCTACAGCCTGGATTGGCGGGGGACAGTGGGGTCTGCTGTCTGGTTTCTGGGTGTGGAGATGTGGTGGAACATTGAATGAGGGGTGGGTGGCTGGAGGAAGGTCCTCAGGGCTGAGGGAGGAGGAGAGGGAGGGGAAAGTCTGAGATCCAGAAGACCTTGTGGTGAGGTTTGGAAGGGGTGGGCTTTGGGGTATAGTGTAGACTTTTCTGAAGAAGCATTTGTTGTGTAAGGGAGAGGACCTAGCCTGTGGTTTGGAGGCATCTGGGCCTGAGAGTGGGTATATATGTGTAACTGAATGTGTGCAGTCTGTGACTATGTGTCTGTCCATGGGAATTGTGGATGTATATGAGTCTATGTGTGCACCAGACCACACGGTGGTGTGTGCAAGTGAGTGAGTGTCTGGGTAGGCTTGTGTGTGCAGAGGGGAGTGGGTATGACTTTGCATGTCTGTCTGGGTGAGAAAATGGGCATGTTTGATTCTGAGGCTGAGTAAGATTGTGCTTCTGTGAGCCAACAGGCCTGTTGAATGTTTAGTTGTATACGTGTGTGTATCAATTTGTCTTTGGGTGTCCATTCTGGTTATATGCATATGAACATGAGGGTTTCAGAATACCTGGGTATGCATGCCCAATTAGGTGAACATCTAGCTGTATCTGTATACATTTGTGTGTATCTATGTGTGCACACGAGTGTAGGTATATCTAAATGGTGTGTTTGTGAGTGTAAGGGTGTGTGTGTGTCTGTGTGTCCATGCATGTATGTGTGTGTCAATATGCTTCTGTGTGGGCGTGTCAGTAATGTACGTGTATGAGTAGGTCCATTTGTGGATGTCCATGTGGATTCTCCAGCATTTTCAATTGTGTATATGTGTGTGTGTGTGTGTGCACGTGCGCGTGTGTGTTTGAGTACATAGGTCTGTAGGCAGACCTGTGGGTTCACATCTGATTAGGGAAATGTTAGTGTAGGTGATCACCCTCATATAAAGAGAACTAATTGTGTGGGTGGGGAGCAATGTGTGCACACATATTTTGTGCATGAAAACATCTTTTGTGGGTATGCCCATGTGTACACATTTGATTCTGTATAGTTATGGCTGTGAGGGTGGGTCTGTGCCTGTGTATATATTCACAAAAGGCTATGTGCATAGGTGAAAGAATGCATTTGGGTACATGTCCAGTTGTGTTTGTGGGTACACTGTTATGTGTGAGTCCAAGTGTGGTTGTGGTATGCATGAGTAGCTAGATTTCATGATACCTGGGTGCACATATCTCAATGTGTTTTGTCTGAATTTCTGAATGCAAGTGTAAATGTGTCTGTGTAGATATGCCTGTGAGTGATCATTAGTGTACATGTGTGTGTATATGCTAGTATGTGTGAACATCTGGCTGTGTGTGCATTTGTGTGAACATGTCTTTATACTTGCCCATGTGTTCATACATCTAAGTATGTGTGTGTGTGTGTGTGAATATGCCTGTGTGTGCCACTCTGACTGTACAGGTAGGTGAATGGACCAGTTTGTGCAGTTTTAATTATTTGTATATATGTGTTTGTATTTATCCTGGAGCGTATGTCATAGAGCTGTGTATGTATGTATGTATTCCATACATACATTTGTGGGTGTGTGTGTATGTCTTTGCCATGTGTATGTGCTAAGTGTTATCAATTCTTGTGCAGATGTACAAGTTCTTCCATGTGTGCATGTGTGTGAACAGAGCTTTGTGTCCAAGTCTGTCTGAGAATTTAAGTATAAATGAATCTTCATTTGTTTGCATAGCTTCTCATAGGGGTGTATGAACATGTGTTGAATACACGTGGTGTGCATTCTTACTATGATTGTGTGAATGTGTTTTTTAAGTACATTTGTGTCTCCAAGTCTGGTTGTGTGCATATAGGAATGATTGATGTACATGTCTGTGTGTGTGTGAGTAGGCTCATAGGAATACATGCCCAGGTGTATGTGTATGTCTATGTGTATTACAATGTTTGTATATGAATACATAGTCTCATTGACATGCAGGTACACATCTGGGTGTTGATGTACAGGAGTACCCTGTGCATATGTGAGTGTGTGAAAATGCTTATGTGGTCACATCTAGGTGTGTGTGTGTGTATACATTTGGGAGCTAACCTCTGGATGTCATGTTTGTTCATTGTCTCATTGAGTGTGATGTTGAGTCTGGCTGTCCATGGACATGTGGAAGTATGCTTGTATGTATACCTGTGTTTGTGAGTGAATGTGTGTCATTCGTGGGCGTTATGTCATGTGAATGTGTGCGATGCCTGTATGTCTATGTTTGCAGGTAAATGGGTGTGCAGATGTGGGACCAAGTTCTGTGTGAGTGTGCATTGCTGTGAGTGTGCCTATGTGTGGAAATAAGTGTAGGTATTTGTACATGTGCTGGTCTGATGGTCCATATGTAAGAGAGAGACATTTGGCCTTGGACCTATGCAGATAGGTCTAATCCCTGAGGGAGTGATAGAGGAGGGTGCTTACAAGTCTGTGTGATGCTGTGTGTACACCCCATCATGTATTTGTGCAAGTCTAAGACTCAGTGACACCCTGCTAGACCATATCAGCTCTGTGTAGATGTCCTACAGGATGGCAAGCTATAACACCTGAGTAATCCATGACCTTCTTCTGGGGGTTCCCTGGCCTCAACCATGTGCTGGGCTTTTGTGGGACAGTTGGGGAGTGGGTGTCTCGGGATAATTCTTGTCATCATTCACACTGAAGAAGTAGGAACCAATCATGGCTGATGTCCTCCTAGGGAAGGGGGCCTGTGACCTTTTAGAAACGGATTTCTTGAAACCCAAAGACCTCCCTTCCCATCCCCCGACCCTTGGAGGCCCAGAACAAAATGGCACTGTTGTGTCTAAGTTTGGCAAATGGTTTTCATGGAGAGCACCCAAATTATGCCATCCAGGCAGAAATCTAGATGTCAATGTGTATGTATAACTAAAGGTATATCTGGGTAGACTATGGTGTGTGTGTGTGTGTGTGTGTGTGTGTCTGTGTGTGTGTAGAAGGTGGTATATTTGGTAAGAGAATGAGAGAATGAGGGGGAAAGAGAGGGACAGGGAGGGAGGGAAGGGATCTAGGTTCTGTGTATGTTAGAGTCTGGGTAAGATATGTATGTGAGACATTTGGCTGTATTTCGGAGGGGTGAGTGTGAGTGTAGGTGCATGTAAATGGTGCATTTGTGAGATGCTATAAGAACATTAGCCTATTTGGGTGGAGGATAGCATGAGAGTTACTGTATGGCTGGGTGGGAATATGTGTGAGGCTGTGTG